ATTTTGAAATAAAAAATAAATGGGAACTTAGTATTATTTGACATGAATAAACAGTAACTGTAAGAGTAGGTAAAAACAGAACAGTGTTACCTGCCAGAAAACCCTGACCTGTCTTTTTGTTAAAAAGAGAGATTAACAAGCTTCACAATGATGTAAAAGGTAAATTCACAACAAAGTGATTAATGTTAAAGTTTGAAAGAGAACTGGAAAAAAAAATCTCACTAATGCTTTGTGTATCTCCAGTTATCTTAAACTGCCTCACATTGGGAAGCCTGTACATAACTGATAGCAGCTGAGTCTTCTGATTAAGGGAACCCTAGGGCTCTCAGACTAAGTTATTCATTTGAAACACAAAGTTCTGTTATTAATTAAAGTCTGTTTGATAATAATCTGGTAAAAGAGTGTGCAGATTTATTTAGTAATCTCTTAATCTATAACCAGTAGTCTCAGTCATTCAAATTCTTGATTTTTGGGAAACTCAGTACAAATGTCCTCTTTTAGATAGACCTTGAGAGGATGAGTATTTAGACTGGGTATTTGACATAAAAGGGATTTATTCGTTTGCCACTACTTGTCTGAAAAAGTATATTACCATTGATAATGCGTGCAGAGTAATGTGCTGTAAAGGAAAGTTAATGACTTGCCCAAGGTTTCATTATCGGTTAATGGCAGAGCTAGAGTTACAACCAACATTACCTGACTTCCAACCAGGTTGTCTTTACAATACTGTGCTTACTGACAAATTCCATAACTTGATTCCATTACTAGGCTTCAGGATTACTCTAACAGTTAATTATGTGTAGTTATTGTGTACTAGACTCTGTAGCTGTATGAGATGTAGATACGATTATTAGCCCCAGAAATATATGCATTTTACCTAGTGTAACATTGTTAAGTAATGATAGAACCAAATCTGAACCATTATGGTATTTTGCCTTTCTAAGTAACATTCATTCTTAAAATGTGTAGTATTTGGGCCTAAGCTTCCTCTTACGAACTGAAACTCACTCATCTTTCACTAGAGAAATTCCTAAGCCCATAGAACCTGGGTTCCCTTTTCCCCTTTAGCTTTTTAGTTCTGTTTACCTTTTTATTTCTTTTCTTGTCTTCCTCCCTTGCTGAACACCTCCAGTGCTAAAAGGAAGCAGTAATCATGAGTATCCTTGTTTTGTTCTTAATTTTAAAGAAAGTGTGCCTGACATTACCATTTACCAGTTAGCTATAGATTTTTGGTAGTTACCCTTCATCAATTTATGACTGTTCCTCTCTGTTCCCATTTGCGAAGATTTTTTTTTCTTAATCATAAATGTGTTTTGAATTTGATTATGTAAATGCTTTTTCTACATCTGTTGAGATAATCATTTTGATTATTTTTAAATCAGTTTATGTGGTAATGAAATGATGCATATTTTCTATTGTTAAATCACCCTTGCATTTCTGGGATGGACTCAACTTGTTTTTATGATGTATTAGTATCATCATCTTTGCTTACTTTTAGAACCAATTTGTAACTGTTGATTTAATGTCCCCTTAGTATTGATAGGGTCATTCATTCTTTTTATTTCTTGAATCAGTTTTGGTAAGTTGTATATTTTCGAAGCGCTTACTGTTTTGTTCATCTTTTAAATGTATTGACTTAAAGTCATTTGTAGTATACGTAGTCTTGAGGCCTATAGTAATAGGTGTTTTAATTGCTGGAGAACTCTTCTTTGGTTCCTTTGTTTTCTTGTTTGTTCATTCATTCGTTTGAATATCTGTTAGGGACCTACTGTGTACATTGCCATGTGCATTAACTATCCTGGAGGTTTTTACAGTTTTTTTCCTACTCTCCAGTGCTCACCCAGAACCCCAGAGGAGAGCCTCAGCTTGAACCCTCAGGACTCAAACTTTGATTTTATTTTTATGTACATAAAAATAATATGTATGAATATATATGTAAGGATTATAGGACTATGATACATAATTTTATGTATGTATATAAAAAGTCATATAAATAAATATAATGAATTTAGGTATGTCATAATAGATCATAAAGAAATATGTAAATTTGTTATTAGTATGATTTGTTTGGGCTGAAGTTAAAGGACTATTACTCCTTCTTGAATGGTAATACTTAAAAAATTGCTGGGTGTGACATGTTTGATGGAAGACATTGAGTAACACTGAATATTCATTTCAGTTTTTAATTATTATTTTTTTATTGTTGTACTTTAAGTGAAAGTTGACAATTCAAGTTCGTATCTCATACAGAAATAGATACATACACTGTTATGTGACGCTAGTTGCTTTCCCTGTACTGTGACAGCACACTCCTCCTTTCCACCCCAGATTTTCCATGTCCATTCAACCAGCTCCTGACCCTCTCTGCCTACTCGTCTCGCCTCCAGACAGGAGCTGCCCAGTTAGCCTCATGTATCTCTACTTGAGCTAAGAAGCACACTCTTCACGAGTATCATTTTACGTCCCATAGTCCAATCTAGTCTTTGTCTGAAGAGTTGTCCTTAGGAATGGTTTTAGTTTTGGGCCAACAGAGTCTGGAGGCCATGTCTTCCAGGGCCCTCCAGTCTCATTCAAACCATGAAGTCTGAGTTCTGCACTTCACTTTTCTCCTGCTCCATCAGGGACTCTCTGTTGTGTTCCCTGTCAGGGCGGTCATTGTGGTAGCTGGGCACCATCTAGTTCTTCTGGTCTCAGGCTGATGAAGTCTCTGGTTTATGT